TCTATCTATCTATCTATCTATCTATCTATCTATCTATCTATCTATCTCTATCTCTATCTCTATCTCTATCTCTATCTCTATCTCTATCTATATATATCTATATATATATATATATATAAATAACTTTACATGCTCCTATTAAGAAGTTCATTAAGTTCAGAAAGTCTTTAGAAGTGTATTGCAAACCTTTACAGGGGAATGTCTGTCTTTTCTGCTTTCCGTCTTTGACACAGTCATTGCACTGCAGCTGACTGGTCTAAGGCTACACTAACAAGGTCCCTGAGCATCTGGCATGTCTTTGGCAAAAGTGAACAGTGTTTTTGCAAAAGAGTGAAAAGGGCCCTGCCCCCTTCCATACATATTACACTCCTGGCTCCTTGTTGCACGCTTCCCTGACAGTCAGCAGAAGGATGGTGTTCAGGATGATCTCTGCCACCACCTGCTGACCTGCTAAGGATTGATGGGAGCAGCTAGGAAACTTCTGTGAAACTTTCTTCCTTTTTGTGTTTTTTTTAGTTACTTTTTCTGGAAAGCTTTGCAACTTAAAGAATATAATTTCTCACTCTTGTTTGCCGTAGCATTCAGCTTCTAGAGCGAAGCACTAAAACAAGCACATTGATAGACATGAATCAGTTTGTCTGCTTTGCATGCTAAATTAAAAGCCTATGAACTGTTTGAATCCCACATTTTCTCCATGTATGAATTTTGGAGTTAGATTTCAGGTTTATTTTTTACTTTTTGTGTTTTGCTTTGCTCACACAATCCGATTCTTGTATGTTTAATGTTATATATGAAGTAGTTATTTTTCAGACAGGCCACTAAACATTTTTCTTGGAAATCTCTCCAATCTTGTATAAGCAAATCTGCAGTTATCCTACCCCTCTCTCTATGTCAGTGTGAGGATCAGGGGATGCTAAATATTTTAGAGCTGCTAAATTTAGATGTAATTACACATTTAGAATAGCAAGAATAGAAACTTTCAGCGTTCTCTCTGGATGCCAAGGCATAGTTTTTTTTTCCCCTCTGTTTTTTTCTCAGCCTTCACCAGCTGATAATTTTATCGTTGATCACTGATGATTTTTTTGAGCACCTACCATTTATAAGCCCAACTTGGGACCAAAGGCCCACATTATCTCTTCCGATTTCATTGACTGTGGAGAAAACGTGGTATATGCATCATGGATATACAAGGACCATGTAAAGCAGTCAAGATGGTCAGTCAGCTCTTTGTCTTGTTGAGTTAAATTATGTCTGACACTGGATTTTTTTTTTTTTCTCCAGCGAGGCAAGAACCAGGGATGATGGTAAAGAAGGTGATGAGCACTGCGTTTGCCCTAAATGATCTGAATGTGGAATGATTTGAGCCTTATAAATGATTGAGAGACCTATCTAAAGGGAATATACCATCAGCATGGCATGGGCAGCTTCTTAAGGTGGACTCATGTGCTTGAGTGGACACATGTCCTCCCTGTCAGTTTGGCGTGTTCTGATGCATCCTTAAGAGTGCTCGTGTGGGACGCAGCTGAAGTCCCTGAAAGCATTCTTCTCTCACCTCTTTTAACTCTGGGGAATGAGCGTTGCTCATATGTTGACTTCTCTCTTTTGTCAGTCTCCCTCTGGTGTTATCTTTTCTCTGGATGTTTTTGTATAATTGGTATCTGAACGTGCCTTTAAGATGCTAGAAAACAGGATTCAGCTAATGAAGAAGAGAGTCTGCAAAATTACTCTTGGTACTTGTCAGATTTATGAATATAATTAGCAAACTCCCATTTGTTACCTTCCATGATTGTGTCTCAGTTAATATGCATTTATTCATAATTCTCATTAAGATATTTCAAGGTTTTTCTTTGCATGCTGAGTTGAGGTCTTTTTACTTTTACCTTTAAAGTAGCTGTAGTGTCTATACTGACCACATTGAGGCACTCAAGATCCTGTCCATTTTCTCTTTAGTTGTGCTAGAAATTTCTACACTCAATGAGGCTTTTCCAGAATAACACTGTAAGTAGACGTGAGAGCCATGTAATTGCTCAATAATAGCAAAGCATTGCCACTCTGGGGATGATGTGAATAAACTTACATCCTTCTGTTTCTATGTGCAGTGGAGTGGCTCTGCGTTGACAGTGTGTATATCAAATGTTTGTGGACAAAGCATACGCATAGCATCGCACAAAGGAACTTTAAACTGAATTTAAACAGACTCTGAAGAGCGCACAACTTGTTGCACTGTGACAGTTTGAAAGGCAGATACTAAAGCACAGGTGTATTGGAACAGCACCCCAATTTAAAACTATTTCCATTTTATAAAGTGATTTTATGAATAATGGGGAATGCTCAGAGAGGGTCCCCCTTCATGTAATTTGTTGGCAAATGCTGAACAGCAGCCACTAGGCCATTATGTTGGTAACAAATTGCTCACATGTACCCAATTTAAACAGTGCTCAAAAAGCAGAGAACCCTTGTTATCCCATGCCTGTTTGGCTATCTGACATGTGTATGGGAACACCCATCTATCTTACTGTGCTTGACCAGTGTGCGTCTCCAGCAGGGGAGGAGTGTTTGGAAACTGTGAGAACAGGTAGAAAAATACTTTATTAACCACTCAGCAGTTTGTGACCCGGAAAACCCAAATTACCCCAAAACTCTGTCGTCTGCACAACCTGGAACATGACCACAGTGCTAATCAGCTCCATATGGGAGGTCTGCTCTTGATCGCAGACAGTAGCTACAGCCCTTATAGCACCCCCCTCCTCTTTTTAATTTCACCACTGCCACTATCAGCCTTTGTTGGACTCATTTTATAGACTCCAATATGTGTGTATAAAAGAGCCACTTCACACAGAAATCCATGGGAGCTTTTATGTGGTGTTTGTGCAGTGTTAGTAGAAATGATGCTGCTTTTAAAGTGAGGCAGGATGGAGTCGTATGGTCTTGTAAAGTGAAGTTTTATTTAGTGTTTGAAATGTGGATGTGAAACAATCCTTTAACTTTTTTTTTTTTTTCAACGTAAAGTCCACCCTGAACCAGGAGTTTTGGAAAGGTATTTGTTTATGTTTTAGTGTTTCAGTACATTTAGTTTGTTTTAAAAAAAATGAGAGAACAAATGGCAAGCTTCAAGATGGTATGGTGGTAAGTGCTGTTGGCTCGCAGACTTTCTGTATAGAGTTTTTATGTTCTCCACATGCATTTGTAGGATGCCTCAGGTTCTTCAGTTTTCTCCCATAGTATTGTTTTTGGAGTTTAATGGAAGTTTATAAATTGACCGTCTGAATAAGTATGCATTAGTGATGGGTAGTATCTGGATCTGATACAGTCAAGCCTTTCTCCGGTTATTTTCAGTCTTTGGAATAGCTGTTTGTCTAGAATTGCTTATCTTGTTGTATTATTATAGCATGTACTGTAATTTCAGGACATTGTTAGTTTTTATAATACATTTTTAATTGTCATTTTCTAGATTAGATAAGTGACATAGAATTAGTTTTCATTGTAACTGCATCACATAATAAAGGCTCATAACAAAACAAAATTATTTATTAATACCGGTATATAAAAAAAGTGTTTGAGAAATACATTTGGACTTTCTTTGTTCAAGGGCTCAAAAGTAACTGAATAGATGCATATAAAATCAGACAAACTCATTTAGTAATTTGTGAAAAAACAAAACAAAAAAAGAAAAAATTCTCATATAATGACTAATGTTTAATTGTAAAAGTTTGACATCAAGAACTTTTTTGTCATTTCTAAAACAGTGCTCCTTACGGTACAGTAGAATATAGCATGACATTTATTTTTTGACTTTACTTGTACATTACTTTTACACTGTTATACACCTTTTTTATTTTACTTCTCACACCGACAAGTACAGTAATTAAGAAGATGCCATAATATTTCTGTACATGTTTCTGTTCAGTGCCCTGAGATGACTTCTGTTCTGACTTGGCACTATATGAATTGAATTTAATACAATTTTTGAGCTTCATATGTGCTTTTTTGTGAATTAACTTAAACTGACACCAAACAATCAATCTAAAAGTAATTACTTATAAGGTCCTAATGGGTGGCCCATAAGCTGCTGTATATTATAAAGTTTCTTTCTGCCTATGATTCTATTTTATTTTATTCCCATCAGGGCATCAAGGCGCGTATTCTGGAGACATTTGTGATGCTCTTTCTTCTAGCTTTGCTCATTCTTGGCATTGTGTGGGTGGCATCAGCCCTAATTGATAATGATGCAACTAGTATGGAGTCACTTTATGGTATGTAATTTCAAATATTTTTTGCATAATACTCTTGATCACCTTGCTGTAGATTTATTTGATCAAATATTAAATCTACTAAAGTCGTTCCAAATACAACTTACTGTTTTGTTCAGATCTTTGGGAATTCTACCTGCCATACCTCTATTCTTGTATATCTCTGCTGGGAGGACTGCTTTTACTGAGTAAGCTAATTCTTGAAGCAAGCACAGTATCACAACAGTTGTAATGCTTAAACACAATTGTTAATCTCAGTGTTTTCTGTCTTCTGTGAAGTGTGCACTCCGGTTGGATTATCCAGGATGTTCACTGTCATGGGCCAGTTACTAGTGAAACCAACAGTAAGTATTTATCTAGCTTTAATATATACCGTATTTTTCGACCTATAAGTTGCAGTTTTTTGCATAATTTACATGCCCTGCGACTTATAGGCCGAAACGACATATTTATAAATTTTTTCCAATATTTATAATCCATTTTTTGGCTGAGATATGACCGTTTTCATTCATTCTGACTGAAAAAATAAAGCAGTACCACTTTCAGCCACTTGATGGCAGAAGAGTAGTTATAGCTGTATGGCATGCCGTTGTATCATGTAAACGTGGCTATAATGACAAATGCAAAAAAGATCAAGACAAAAACAACTGGACTTTATTTATAATACTTTTTACTTTCTTTTTTTTACTTTTTTGAATTTATCATATCCTGGATGACTGAGAATCTTCACCAGCTATTAATGACACAGTCGGCCTGCCATAGTCTCTCCATCTGCATTCTGCTCGCTGCTTGGAGCAACCGTCAAACCAGATGCACCACCCCGGCGAAATGCAGCTAATTTGACCATTAAAGTGCATTTATTAAGCAACTGTTACACTGAGACACACCGTTGCTATAATTTCGAGCAAACAAATAATTGTTTAGGTGTTTATCTTGTTAAATTTTGTACAGCGACTTGTCGCGTGCACGCGTTTACTTCCGCATATCGGGTTTTGAAATACAGCTGATATGACCATCAAAGTGCATTTATTAAGCAAACATTAGATTGAGACACTCATTTCGAGCAAACAAATAATTGTTTTTAAGTGTTAATCTTGTTAAATTCTTGTTAAAGTCCTCCCGGGCACGCTCCTGCGGTCGCCATTTGGCAGCCTATCGGTTTTTGGCACAACACCGGTCCTCATTTCCGGGTTCGGCCCACATTTCCGGGTTGTCAGCGGTGATGCGCAACAAACGTGACGCGTCAGCGCTGACGCGTAATAGATGCGACGTATACGGCGAAGCGACATATTTATGGATGTTTACACTTTATTAGACAAATATGGACTGATGCGACTTATAGGGCGGTGTGACATGTACGGTGGAAAATACGGTACATGGATAAGGTTAAAATACTTGAATTAGAGCCTACAACCATTAAGTTCAAAATATGTGTCAGATCTAAGACTGTTAAATCTGCTGTACCTAAAGCCCTTTCAGGTGTCCATTATAGTGCATGAAGGAAGACTACAAATACATCACCTACTCATCCTTCCATCTGCCATTGCTCCAGTCCCACTTTGGACCTAATTATAACCCATTTCATCTTTTCCTACTCTGCTCTCTCCCCTTTAGATCCTAGAGGACCTAGATGAGCAGATTTACTGCATCCATTTGCAGGAGGAAGCCCTTCAGAGGAGATTAAACGGTATGTCTGTAGGAGACGTGTTGGCACGTTATAGGCAAGGGTAGAGGTTGAGTGCACTATTGGGTGTGATAAAGCAGGACACACTGGAATCAATTAGCATTGAAAATTTAGTTTGGCGGACACAGACATTGACCAAAAATTCACACACACTTGACACAGGCTTTGCCCAACATTGTTTTACATTTATAACTTTCTGCTAAAGGTCAAAGAATGCTGAGTATGGTACTATGTTTAAAGTTTAGGAGGTTTGTCTCAAGGAGGCACTCCAAAGCCACTGTGACTGTGGATGAAATTCTCATTTACAGTCAGGCCAAGAATTGTATCCTGTTCAAAACGTAGGAAATTAAACTATTTTAGGGAATTTATGGCATGCTGCCATTTACATTAAAGAGCTGCTTTTTAGTGATCTCCAAAAGAGTACCATGAGTGGTGTGCCTTTCTTAAGACTATGCAGACAAAGAGAAAGTTTAAAGAGTTCAAGAATGGTAAAAATGTTATTTTTCTAGCCTGCATTTCCGTCCCATGTCCAGCCCTCTGTGTTCACTCAAAATCCTTGTTCGATGTTGAATAATCTGAAAACGCAGGAAGTCAAGTTCCAAAACCTACTTTAATATTAACCCAAGCACGTAACCAAGTGTACAGATGTGAGTCAATGAAGAAGACAAGCGTCCTTTCAAACCAGGAAGGTAGGAGAGATTCTTTCCTGATAGCTCATGTTTTTGAATGCACCACTGGCCTCCTCCATAGACAGCCACCAATGCGTACGGTTTCTTCAGGCTCATTCCACACGGCCCTGCTTTGAACTAACTGATAGAATAATTGTAATCTGTTTCTTATCATCTCTAAAACTGTTTGATCCTTACAAGCCACTGAGGGGAAAAATAAAACAACTGTGGTCAACACATGTCAGAGTGTTGACTGAGGCCACACTGCTGTTCGTTTTGTTTGTTAAAGAGGTGAGAGTTTTGGAGGGGACGGAGGATTTTGTTGAGCGGAGGATAAAACGGCATATCAGACATGAATGTTTTTGTGCACCTACTCGATGCCATGTATTTTTGTTGTTTATGCTCATATGTGAGGCTGAAGGTTCGGGTGGCATTCCTTTGATCTAAGAATTAAGTTGAAAACGGTTCAGGAACAGTTCACAGGACACACTCCAGAGACAGCAATGTTTTGTTGCTTCACCTGCATCAAGTTTGCCTAACAGATTATCTTCTGTCATAGTTTGTGTTTTGTAGACGTGGAGCGTTGAGCATTCATGTTTATTTACATGCTAAACCCTTTGTTGTCCTCTTTAGACAAGCAATTGCCTATTTACAGTAGCATGTAGTCTTAATTGCATGGATCAGTACATTATAGCTTGAACTGACTTATTAGCCATGTGTGCATACCTCCCTGAAGTAGAAACCCTTAGAGACATGCTGCACTATATTATGACCATGTTTTTGCAGTTGATATAAACTGCTGTCTATTCTGTGTTGCTTTAAAATTATCTTAAAAATCACAAAGATGTGAAAATGTTCTAATATACCAGACTGATGGACAGAAAAATGGGTTAAATGAATAACTATTGGAAACCTTGCTCTAGTTTTACGTTTGTTTTTTTATTAACTTTTTTAAAGATAATTACCGGTAACTGAAATAGTAAAACTACAATAAGTAATGGTATAAGCTACTTAAAAAAATTCTGATGCCGTTGGAGATTATGTGAGTGCTTTCAGTATACTTTGACAATTTGAGAGGAAAAAAAGAAAAATCTGTTTGACTGATTTAGTAATTCTAACTATTTTGTTGGTTAAAGTTTTATGGAGATTTAAAAAAAAAAACCTAACTTGTTGGAATAAAAAAAACAGTGGTCACTTATTACATATCTGTCTTTTGTGTTAATTTTATCAAAACAAAGTTTACTTGTCTTTAAATAGTTCGTATCTAAATTGTTAGTTATTTAATAAAATATATAAATGAAAATCTTGAAAATTTGCCACAAATTATTAATCTGCTTTAAGTTTAAGCAGTTCTGCTCAAGTGGACATTTACAGTAATTTGGTATAAAAATAAAGAATGTTTTTTTTTTTGCATCTTTTGTTTATTACATTTTTTTTAAATAAAAAATAAATGCATTATCAGTGCTCTGCCACAAGTTGTTGTGCTCTATGCAATTCTGAACAAAACAAACAGTTTTTATTATGTACACCTTTTATTGTTCAATTTGGCCAACGTTTGCCATAAATACAGTGATATAATCATTTAAACTTCTCAGGAAACAATCATATACATTAAAATAAATTTTTTATTTCATTATTAAATCTGATCAATTGAGTTATTTTATCAGTTAATGTTTGTTCCAGATTTTCAACATAAATTTTGTGAAATAAATCAGATTTTGCCTGCCTTTGTGAATAAATATTGGTACCGAACACATTATTATATTGGAAAACAATCATATTTTATAATATAATTGTGCCAAATTTTATAGTCCATCCATCCATCACCTTTACTCGCTTCTTCCTTATCGGGTCTCAGGGGTCACTGGTGCCCATGTCCAGCCATCACTGTGAAGGTGGGGGGCACCCTGGACAGGTCACAAGTCCATCACAGGGACACATGGAGACAAACGAGACAAACAACCATTCACTCTCTTACTCACACCTAGGGATATTTTAGTTACCAATCAGCCTAACATCTCAGGCTGTATTGAGAAACATTATGAGTATGTTTGCATTGAATGGTTTGTCTTAATTTGCAGCTGACGTACATAAATATATACTGCAGTAAAGCCAAAGTGATGCTCTCACAGTTTGGGACTGCCCTCATCAAGACCCTGATCTGCTGAAAACAGAGCAACACAGCGCTTGTCCAGATGCTATGCGGCACAATGACCTTGCTGTTGCCTTTTTTGTCTCAGCATGGTGTTTAGCATATTTGTGGATGACGTAATTTTTTGACTGTGGAGAAGGTTGGAGAGGATATGTTGAATTACTTTGAGCTTTCCTGGCTGCCAGAATACTCACTCAGCATCTCTGCCCTGCTGTAACTCAGTCTCTTACTTGACGGTGCCAGCAGAGGGAGAGGAAGGATATATGCAACTTCAGTATGGAATGATGTCATTGAGGATACTGCAGTTGAAGTCCTCTTCCTTTATACTGTTTGAACAACTTAAGACATAGTATTTTATTTCAAATGTACTGTTGCGTTCTTTGTGACAACGGTATTTTAATTTAAATAAATTCATCAATGCTTTATATCTATTTGTGACGTCTAAAATGATGTGAAAAAGTGATAAATGAAATAACTTGCAGCTCAGTAGATTTAATTTCCCTGAGGCATATTGTTAAGTTCATATTTGGAGATGAAGAGCCAGCTGAACTGTTTTTGACATTTCCTGTTGCGTTGTGTCTGCATTTGCTTGGAGGGTTCAAACTTTCCCCTGTTCAGATCCTGGGACAGGTACCATATCTATGACAGCTTTTGACATAGGCTTTTAGTTTTTTCTCCGTTTATCTCCCCTCTTTAACCTACTTCAACTCATCCAGACAGGGCGTGTCATAATGACAGAGGAAAGAAAACGGTCTGATCAAAGTGATTGGTCCTTCACTCCAGTAACAAAGATGAAAGATGGTATTTTTATTGCACACTAGTAATGGTGTAACACTGAACTAATTGGTCTTGATCTGCCAATCACCCCAGGGGATGCAAATGGATACTCTTCCTCTTTAGCTTCATGAAGCCTCTATGCTAGTGTGTCAAGCTGGAAGGAAAACAGAGTAAAATGGATAAATTAGCCCTAAATGAACCAGCCTTGTGGTTTTCCTGGAGAATCCCTTGCTGTCTTATCCAGCCCACTCAACCTGTTGTGGCATGTGTTAGACAGCTCCTGACACAAGAGATTGTTTTTACTTTGAATTCACATTGTTGAATTTTGAAATCATGTTGTGTATTAAGCAGAATTACTTGTTTTGATGGGATTGCCATATGAAGATAAAATATGCGAGAAGACAAAAGCATAGAGGTAAATATCATGTATTTTCTTTAAGTAGGTTTAATTCATGATTTACATATTAAGGCGTAAAAATCTGGTTCTCATCAGGTCTAAAAAATATAACTTCACGCAAAAACACTTGGCAAGCTACCAGTACTCTGGATTATTATTATTTTTTTACAAAACCTTTTTTCAAATACTCAAGTTGTACATGAAATACTTGTTTCACTACAAATTACCATACTTAGGAACTATAACTTGGAAAAAAATCTTCACTTTAGCTACATGAAGCTTGGGACAGGCATCAGCAAAGTGGACGGACAGAATAACTGAAGTTGCTTCAGTTCCTTCTTTGAAATTTGCAGTCGTTTATTTTTGCATAACTCTAAAATCCTGCCACAATTTTTCAGTCAGGTTGAGATAGTTGTGTTGAGTAGACCAAAGGAACACCCTGATTATTTTCTTTTTCAGTCATTTTGTTGTAATTTGTTTGTGCGCTTGAGATAATTGTTCTGCTGCATTACCCAGTTTCAGTTGAGCTTCAGCTGTTAGACACATGGTTTCACGGTTGACTCAAGAATACTTTGGTATACAAAAGTTAATGGTCTAGTTGTTGACTGCAAGGTTCCCAGGTCCTGTTGCTGCAAAACAAGCTTGGATCTTAAGCCTCCACCTCTGTCCTTGTCATTTAGTATGAAGTGTTTGTACAAAATACTGTTTGGTTTTCACCCATGCTGATGCTGTACAATATGATCAAAGATCTCCACTTAGATCTAATCTGTACAAAAAATGTTCTAAAACTCTCATTTGTTTGGGCTTTTCAAACAAAAGTTATGAGGCTTTTTTGTTTTAGAGGGAGAGAGGAGGCTAACTTCTGGTCACCCTTCCATAGGCCATATTTATTAAAACGTGAAAATGCAAGTAGAAAAAATACTGAAACTTACATTCTATCCAAAATTTGTGAAGTCTGATATGTGCATTTACTCTGACCTCTGGCCAGTCTAACATCACTGTAAACTTGCTTTGAATATCGACTCCTAGAAAAGATCTTTTGTAGTGGTGCTCACACTCACTGATGTCCATTTAACGAAACACTTTTGATTAGCAGCACCTGGCTGCTTGCTTATCCTTTTATTGCCAATGGAAGCAGTAGAATATTAATAATTTTTCACATGCTGCTTATACATTTTAGCTAATGACATAGTTTGTTGAACAGATTTTTTTTGTTGTTTCCTGTTGCAGAGCAAAGAGGGATAATTGGAAATACCCTTGTTTGTCCATCTGTGCATGTTTTGAGCATGATAACTTGAAAAATATGTGAGGTACCGACTTTCATTTTGGTTTGGCTGCATCTAGCCACAAAAAAGGTTCCTTTCAAAAAGTGGGTTGCAATGTCAAACTCTAACATGGCTGCCGCCTTATATGTTTTATATGCTAACCTTGTGAGCTGGATAACCTGAAAAAGAAGCAACATTCCAACTTCCGTTTTTGTGTGTGCCTCCATCTAGACATTAAAAGGGTTCCTTTCAAAAATAAGGTTGCCAAGTCAAAATCCAACCTTTTCTTTCATTCATCCTTTATTTATACAGGTTAGTCTCATTGAGTCACAAGGACTCATTTTCAAGAGAGACCTGTTTTAGACAAACCACAGGTAAGGTACATACAACAACATTGCCACCACCATCACTATATATATATATATATATATATATATATATATATATATATATATATATATATATAAATAAATATATATATACATATACATATACAGTGGTTCCTTGATACTTTGCGGTTCGACATTCGTGGACTCACTCTTTCGCAGGTTTTCAGAATAAGATTGTACACAACACACAATTGGCTTATTGATGGAAGGCGACCAACCACAGCATTGTGCTGAGGGGCAGACTGGCCATCGGGAGCACTGGGACATTTTCTGGTGGTCTGGCCTGCTCAATGTCTGTCACAGCAGAGACGCACAACAGGCAGGCGCACAACCTGTTGTGTGTCTCTGCTCTGCTGTGACAGACAGCCTCAGAACGAGAAAGGAGAGGGCAGGCGTGGGGTCCGTCTTTCCCCATTGCTACTGTGGAAGCTTCAGTGAGGCGGATATCAGAGTGAGTGTCATGGATTGTTTATTTAAAATAATCAAGCATGACCCAAACTGAGCCTTTAGTCCCCTTTGGCAATCACTGAGTGGGCCAGGCCACCTTGAAATGTCCTGGTACTCTCAATGGCCAGTCTACCCCCAGGATGGGCTCAATAACCATAGCACCAGTCTGTCTGCTTTCTTTTGCTGTGCTCTTTTAGAGCATTTAGAAAGTTGAGAACATTGCTAAGATTATTGCAAGAGTGTGGAAAGGGTTTGTAAAGCCTTAAAATAGATATAAACACTAAAATATAACATCCCTATTGCTTAAAAGTATAGTTTCCCCAAAATGATTGGGGTGGCCCTTTGGTCCAAGAGTAATCTATGGTGGCCAAGGCCACCACTGGCCACCTCCTGGCTTCGCCACCACGCCTGGCAGTAGATACAGTAAATGCTCCCCCCACTTGCCTTAATCTGTCCCCCTGTCTCTATTGTTATACACAGTGTAACTTCTAACAAATAGAATACCTTGCACCAGAAACATTCAGATTTACTTGCATTCCCTGTTCAATTCCAGTTCACAAAAACATTCATCTTGAAAACATTCACTATTCAAATCTCTGACAGGAGGCATCTGTGTACTTTTTGTTGACTATCATTCAGCAGGTTTAATGAAGTCAAAAAGACACAAAAAAGCTTAAGTTGAGCACAATTTATTTTTCATTTTTAATTGATTGATTAATTTATTGAATGTAAATGTACCCAATTTGTATTTCCCAGGCTCATCTATGCACACCTATGATCGAGGAAGTTTTACTCACCAACTCGACAAAGATTTGGAAAACATTAGAAATCAGAAGAATAAATTAGGTAAGTGTTTGTATTGTATTATATGACTAATGGATTTTATTGTCGAACCTTGAATTGCTACAGTAATGTATGCCAAAGATGCTAGCTTTTTTACATATTGCTGACAGGCAGCTGCTCCCTCTTCATCTGCCTTAATTTCTTAATTTGGACTTGGAGCTGAAATGCCTGATAATTTTCCATCCATTTTAGGATATTATAAATGAAGCCTGAGCCTTTTGGGGACCAGGGTGGGGGAGGGTTTGCACAAAGGCACTTAGGATATTGGACAAGATGCAAACTTTATATTGTAGCAAGCCTTTTAGTGATGTCATTAATTTAGAAGGATGGTGCATATAAAGTGCACTTGGCAAACTTCTCACTCGGGCATCCAGACTGAATACACTTTGAGAATATGGGGGGATAACAGGGTTGAAAATAACGACAGACAGTGGATATGGCAGAAACAAGAGGGAAGTTGCATACACAATTTAAGAGAGCTGTGTATGTTTAAAATACATAGTGCATGTGGTTTACAAGCTGTCAGCCGTGTCAAAAAAATATGACTAATCAGCTGTTGAAATATGAGGTAGATATAACATTGAAATGTTTCATCTGGCTTGGAAGAAAGTCACATTAGTTGCTTACCACATATTAAAACCAAAATATATATCACATTATTAATTTTGTTGCATCTCTTTTTATCTGGGATTTATTACTGTTTCCACTAATTAAGAAAATTACGAGTGGAGCTGATTAAAGAGGAAGAGCATTATTTTTCAAGGTTGGAAAATCTGTATTACCTGGAGGTGATGTGGTTTATGATGAAAGGAGAGATACTTTGTGTGTGCACACAATAAGTTTTACCAAAACAAGGAGTACAAACCTTATAAATAGGTTGTGTGGTTTCGGTAGTTGATGAACTCATTAATAAGTCACTGGTAGAAACAGGCTTGTAATGGAAATGTATTGGAAAAGTTGAAGTCATTGTGGAAATGTGTTATTAAAAGGTTTGCTATGCATATTTCTGAAGAAACATGACTTCATATTTTGTTTCCTCTCAGAGAGAAGAAAGAAAGCATCAGGATGGGAAAAGAACTTGTTGTATCCTATAGTGATGCTGATCCTGCTTGCAGGAACGGTGAGTGCTCAGACTGACCTATCAATGTGCTCAGATGTTTTTCTCATTTCAAAATTCAGTCTAGCTGATAGCCGCTATGACTTAAATCATCTTCCCTCCCCCCACTGAGTCTGGGTGGGGAAACTACTTTTGTTTAATAGCTGTTTAAGACAGCGCTGAATAGCCACCTGTAACAATAAATTATAGTGTGAGCATACTGTTTACGCCATCTTTTACTGTTAGATAAGGCAGAGAAGCTGTGTGGGGAAGAGCACATGCATCCACCACCTGCCTCACATTGTTTAAATCTAAAAGCTTTATGTTGGAGCGCTTTACAGTCACAAAATAGTTATTATAATTTAGCATACATCCAAACCAGTGAGGCACCTGCAATTCAAATATATTACAATGGCAGATTCTTTGAGGATTTGATAAATCTTTTTGTAATTATACTATGTGTAAACAAATCTATATCTTCCTCTGTGTCTGCAGACAATCTCTGTTATTATGGTGGCGCTGAATATCCTCTACCTTCTAGTGGATGAGACCGCTATGCCCAAGGGATCCACAGTAAGTCTTCTGTCTAACCGCAGTACAGTTTAGTCATCTTACTTGCACACCAAAACACATCTTGAATGTAAACTGTAGAGGAGGTTGCCTATCAGACCATGAGATCCTCATTTCTAGGCTTAAGCAGTGGGTGGGCATCACAGGTTCAGCACTCAAATGGTTTATGTCCTACCTTATCGATAGAAGTTTTTATGTCAACATCAAGGATTTTATTTCCACATCAGTGGTTCTTTGGTGGGGGGTACCACAGGGCTCCATTCTTGGACCTCTTTTTTTCTTTATACCTGCTGCCACTAGGTGCCATTTTTCATAAACATGACATTCCTTTTCATTTTTATGCTTATGACTGTCAAATGTACTTCCCTCTGAAGCACACTGGTGTTCGCTCTATCCAACTTCTCCTTGACTGCCTGGTCGACATCAGGGATTGGATGGCTTTAAATTTCTTACATTTTTATGAGAAAAAGACAAGTCATATTATTTCCACCTAATGGTACCAACAGGAAGTCTGCATCAACCTTTCCTCTCTGGCTTCATTTGAGAAACGTATTGTCACTAATCTGGGAGTGAAAATGGACCCTTCTGCTTTTTTCAGTTGAGGTGACTGTCTAAATTAAAGCCTGTAATGTCCTAAAGTAATCTTGAGACAGTAATACTTTCTTTCATAAAGTTTTGTTTTATTGTACAACACTTTGGTTGGCCTTGTTTCTGTTTTTAAGTGCTTTATAAATAAAGTGGTATGATATGGTATGGTATTTTATGGTATGGTATGGTATCAGAACTGCCATGTCCTTGGCAGAGACATAAATCAAATTCCGGATATGCTCAGGTGCATGTTAGAAGAAAAGAGCTCTACAGATGGTAATCGGGCTCAAACCATGTGCTACTGGTTTTGTTTTGGAAATCCTTTCAGAGTCATTTCACAGCAGTGTGCAGACTCAATGAGCTTGTTACGTGTCTCATGTCTACTGCGATTGAATAAAGCTGCGTTTACCCCCAAGTAAGAGGTTCTCACTGTGAAGCAGATCAAGAGTGTGGAATGGTTTTTAGAGGTTTTTATCTTTATCTAACATGTGACCTGTTTTAAGCTTTTTGTATCTCATAAACAATGTCAGGGGTGCATACGTGTGTGTGTGTATAAACATGCATTTATGGCTGCATTCTTGTCTGGAAGGGCAACATTATGTATCTTATTTCTCTCACATTAAGTTTTACGTCTTGCGGGCAACTTTCATAGCTGCCCTTGACATTCCAATTATTTTATTGAGATGTTTTCTTTGACATGACGCATCACTGAAAATCCCCCAAATTACACTTGTCATGTAGTTTGAAGATGTCCTCCCTGATAGTATGGCCCCACTAAATGGTTTATGCATTTGTTGAGCTGGATGGATGCCACATCTCTGATCTGATCTCACTAAGAGAGGAGGAGAAGAGGAAGGGGTTTAGTCTTCTTAAACAATCAATACTGATAAGAAATCCATCTTTCTTTAAACTACTCTCCAACTACTGTTCTCAGCCCCTGTGGCACAAAAATTCCCCCTGCCCACAGTCAAGGACAGTGCAAAGGAAGTGGCATAAAAACAAAGAGAAAACATCTGGTTTGACATCTGGACATGCCACTACCAGTGCAGGTATACTCAGACCGTGGGAAAGTCAAATGAGACACTGATACATTAATTGCTATAGGAAAAGAGCACTTGTCAACATTTGCCTTCTTTTCCATCTAAGCATCTTGCTGCAGTCAACTTACTGATCAGTGTTTCACTCAGCTTTACAGAGCTGAAGGATGAAGTATTAGCAGGAAAAATAGTCATCACAGCTTCTGTAAAAGCATGCCGAATTTTACTGCTTTATGAAGAAGCACTGAAAGGCTCTAATAAAATAGTTACTGCTGGCCCTTTGCTCTTGTGGTCGTCACACTTGACTTTGCATTTTGTAAAATGGACAATAAGCTGTGGGTTAATAGCAATTTTACACCCCTCTTGAGTTAGCCTTTTTTTAAATTAAAATAGAGGAATAGTTTTGACAGTGTTTGTAGAGCTGTTGCCTCTCATTTAGAAGGTTGCCAGATTGAATCCTGGCCTGAGACCTTCCTGGGTGGAGTTTGCTTATTTTCTCCTTGCATGCGTGAGTTTTCAGAGTCAGAGATTCTATATTGTCGTTCGCACCACATGTGGTACATGTGGTGGGACGAAATTATGTACACAGGGTCCCAGTTACATCCAATAATAAAATGTAAAAGAAAAACAATGATAAAAAACAACAAACAAGATATGAACTAAGAAAAACATCAACTAAAAATACACTATGCACTAGTAGCATAAAAACATTGTCGAACAGCAGCATGAACATGAGTCTGTGTGAGCAGATGAGCACACATGAACACATCAACATGAAACAGATCAGCAGCAACATGATGTGATTTTTCACAGTGATTATTCTAGTTAGACGTTCATGAGTCTAACAGCCTCAGGGTAGAAGCTGTTCCTCAGTCTAGTGGTTCTACACTTAATGCTCCTCAACCTCCTTCCTGAGGGGAGCAGGGCAAAAAGTGTATGTGCTGGGTGAATGACCTCCCACTGACCAAATACTTGCATGGTAGGCTAACTGGTAACTTGTTCCTGTGAGTGAGAGTGAGAGTCAGAGTCAGAGTCAGAGTTTCTTTATTGTCATTCGCACCTCATGTGGTACATGTGGTGGAGCGAAATTATGTACACGGGGTCCCAGTTACATCCAACAATAAAATGTATAAGAAAAACAGTAATAACATCTAAGATATGAACTAAGAAAAACATCAACTAAATATACACTAAGCACTCATAACATAAAACATTGAACATCAGCACAAACATGAACATGAGTCTGTGAGCAGATGTGCACGCATGAACACATCAACATTGAAACAGATCAGCAGCAACATGAAACAGATCAGCAGCAACATGATATGGTTTTTCACAGTGATTATTCTAGTTAGAGATTCATGAGTCTAACAGCCTCAGGGTAGAAGCTGTTCCTCAGTCTAGTGGTTCTACACTTAATGCTCCTTAACCTCCTTCCTGAGGGGAGTGGGGCAAAAAGTGTGTGTGCTGGGTGGGTGGGGTCCTTCATGATGCAGGTGGCCCTCTTCCTGCATCTGGAGGTGTAGATGTCTGTGATGGTGGGGAGACTGATTCCAACAGATTTCTGTGCAGCCTTCACCACTCTCTGCAAAGCTTTTCTTTCTGCAGCTGTGCAGCCTCCATGCCACACATTGATGCTGGAGCACAGGATGCTCTCCACTGCACACCTGTAGAAGGAGGTGAGGACTGAGCTTCCCAGACCAGCTCGCCTCAGCCGTCTGAGGAAGTAGAGTCTCTGATGAGCTTTCTTGATCAGGCTGGTGGTGTTGTTGCTCCAGCTGAGGTTGTCATTCATGTGTACACCCAAGTACTTGTAGCTGGAGACCACTTCCACTGCAGATCCTCTTATGTTCAGGGGGGTGTAGGTGTTTTTGTTCCTTCTGAAGTGAGAGAGAGAGAGTGAGAGAAAAAGAAAGAAAGAAAAAAAGAATGGTTGTTTGTCTCATTGGTCACCATGATTTTTTTTTTTTTTTTTGCTTGTTGCATTTCTGATTCTACACGGCCTGACCAAAAAAAAAAAAAAAAATTAAAATTAAATTAATTAAAATTAAATTAAATACTGAAATTGGGTTAAGAACTGTCCATCGCATTATTAAAAACTGGAAGGATAGTGGGGACCCATCGTCTTCAAGGAAGAAATGTGGCCGAAAATAAATCCTGAATTATCGTGATCGACGATCACTTAAACATTTGGTGAAATCAAATCAAAGAAAAACAACAGTAGCACGCAGGGCTATGTTTAGTAGTGAAAGTAAGAGCATTTCCACATGCACAATCAATCAATCAACCTTTATTTATACAGGTAAATCCCATTGAGCCTCGAGGACTCATTTACAAGAGAGACCTGATAAATGTGAAGGGAACTCAAGGGATTGGGACTGAACAGCTGTGTAGCCTTAAGAAATCCACTAATCATTGAGGCTAACGGGAAAACAGGCTTCCATTTGCTAGGGAGCATAAAGATTGGACTCTGGAGCAATGGAAGAAGGTCGTGGTCTGATGAGTCCAGATTTACCCTGTTCAGACTGATGGGCGCATCAGGGTAAAAAGAGAGGCAGGTGAAGTGATGCACCCATCATGCCTAGTACCTAGTCATCAATGCAAGATCTTGGTGAAAAATAAACGCAACACTGGATGGAAATAGATCTTGTGACATTGCAGAAGCTTATCGAAACAATGCCACAGCGAATGCATGCCGTAAACAAAGCTAAAGGCGGTCCAATGAAATATTAGTGTGTGACCTTTTTTTTTTGGTGACAACTTTTTTTTGGGCAAGTATTGTATTTTGTAACATAGTCAGTTTTTCATTTGATATTGCAAACAAGTCTTAATTGCTTATGTACTTGTATTTTAGAGTGTACACACAACCTTAATGCATGCTTACAATTCCTGCATTAATAAATGACATCAGCGGGCGTCAGCTAAGCTTTCTGTGTAAGAGCACTGCACCTTGGGTTTGCAGTAAGCTCCCAAACATGACAATTGCATTACAAGGCATAAAACAACATAGTAGGCTTCCTTTTTCCGTGAAGGCTTCTTTTTAGAACGACAAAGTTTACAACAATTGTTTTTGTATTGTAGGTGTTTCATACAGGTTCCAGAATCTTTAAATGATTAGTCCTTGTACTGAGTACAACAAAAGCAAATATTAATCATTTGACTAAACAGTTGCTTATTTAGATTGATATAATTTTTTCACTGCTTTAGTTTCAGAAGACTTCAGCAGGAAAAGAGGTGGAAGTTGAGAATGGGTGGTGGTGGTGGTGGGGTGGGTTATGTCGGGTGTATTTGCTTAAGAATTTGTTTAGTTGTTTTTATGTTTTTGGCATGCTTTCAGTCTGTCTAACCGTCTTACCGTAAGCAATGTGCCGTTTTTGTTTGAACACCTGTTCACATATTGTATGATCGACAGTGATTTTCAAAAAGCCTCTTTCATCTTTCATTCATTATTTATCCAGTTTTGTTCAGTTTTCACAAGTAGAAAAATTATTTGCACAACACAGAGCTACCTACTTTACAAGTCTTTAATTGCATATGTCCAACTGCAAACACCTTTTGTTATTTCCCTTTTTTTTATTTGGGTTGTGTTCATATTTAACTTGTGATTTGTGCAATAAAAGCAAATGAGTCATTTTTTTATTATTTCTATGTCCATCTTGCAGGACCGTGGCATTGGAAATACCTCCTTGTCCACATTTGGTGTGGTTCAGGCAGTGCTCGAGATCATCCTCATGTTGTATCCTTTAAGTGACCTCCCCTTTGTCTGTGACCAGAGTAGCATGCTCCATGACCAAAGGCAACATTACCAAGGCAGTTTTGTTTACCCAGGACATAGTTCAGCCGAACACCTTCCGGAAAACACGTCGTCTTGTTTCATCACCTTTTATTATACCTGAAAAGGTGCAGGCTAAAAACACATTTAAGAAACTCTCAGTGAAGCTTTTTTTTTTTTTCCAGCAAAGTGATTTTGGTCCTTGATTGATTTGCTGAACAGCTACTTGATGGTGTCTTCCGTCGTTGGCTTCTACAGCTTGCGTGTCTTTGAAGGACTCACGCCTAGGAAGGATGACACGACCATGACAACGGTAAGGTGGGGTGTAAGGACAGAGAAGTGGGGGCAAACGGGGCAGAAATTGCTAAGAGGTGCTGATGTGTTAGGGCCCCCAGAGTTTCATCCATTTCCTTTTATTTTTCCTCTTTTCCTTTCTCCTGCGGCTCTCTAAAGTTTTCTTAAAGGCCTCTCAAAAAGGCTTTAGTTGATCTGTCCAATATTTGTTTGTGGGTTGCGTAAACACTGACAAAGTGCAAGCTCCTTTCTTATACATCAGAGGGAGAACAGAGTTTTTTGAGGGGATGTGGGGTGAAGGGGAGTGGAGGATGTGTGCTCTGTTCAGCCTATAGTGTGGCATCTATTCACTTGGTAATGAGTTTGGGAGTGGTACAGCTTGTTAACTAGCCATGGCGCTTCAGTGAAAGGGCTTGAAAGGACAATGGAGGGAACCTGGTAATGAGCAACTTCAGAGGTACTAATTGTGTAATATGTGGAACTAATTTAACATCAAGTGGTGTGTATGTGTGTGGGCACATCATGACTGAATTGTCAGCTTTTCTTTAACTTTACCACTTTTTATAGTCACCCCCTACAAGCCATACATTATGAATGAAATGAAATGGAGTGATTTGGCTTTATTTTTAGATCATTGGCTGCTGTGTGTCTATCCTGGTCCTGAGTTCGGCTCTTCCAGTAATGTCCAGAACTCTCGGTGAGTATATTATTTTGTGTGACTTGTCTGTGGTCTGATAAAACTGCGTTTGATTAGCTCATTTTAGTATAGAGACCAATAATTAAAACTAGGGATGGGGCCGATCCGATCCATTATTGGTATCGGCCTCCGATACCAGCAAAATTTACATATCGGATTTTCCAATCCACCTGCCGATATTTCCGATCCATGCATGTCTGTGGTTACGCTGCATGTTGGCTTCAAACTATGGGATGGATTTCCTGAACGGCGGCGTGTCTCATGAACTCAGAGTAATAAGACCCGCCACACATTCAGGAAATCCAGTTCATAGTTTGCAGCCAGCTACAATGTGAGTGCTGAGTTAGCAGCACTGTTGCTAACAGCTAACAAACTTTTCATCAAAACATATCCGCTGTGTGGAAGTATTTTACACTAAACACCACAAAACAAGACGGGAACGTGCAATGTCTGCAGAGCCATAGCGCCACATTAAACCGCGGTAAAGTTAGTTTTACGATGGACATTCGAGCTCCGTGGCTTCAGCGGGGCGCTGCTCTTTGCTCAACCCAAAACAAGCGACTCGACACCGGCCAGCTGCGTCCAATCTGCCGTGCTCAGTCTGCCCGTCTCCGAGGTTCCGAGGAGGGACAGACTGAGCACGGCTGCCCCAAATCAGGCTGCTTGCTTCGGACTGAACAAGAAGTAGACGTCGCTGAAACCACGGAGCTCAAATGTTTACAGAGAAGTTGCTAAACTTCATCATAATTAATGACCAACCACTATCAGTTGTAGAAAACGAAGGATTTCACAGCTTGATACTTGCAGCCAAGATATAGTTTACCCTCCAGGAGATATTTATCAGTACAACAGTAGACAATCATAAAAAACACATGATTTGAAAATTATAATAAAAACAAAAACAGCTACATTATATAGTGATGTAAAATACTAAAAACAGGAAACATGTCTGTTGGTTTATGCCATGAACTTAGCAGATGTTTGAAGCCATTTAACATTTTATTTAATTTAATTCATTTATTCATTCATTTAAATGAATCAAAATAAAAATAAAAAAACCATCAAAGAGAAAATGTTGAATGAAAAGAGTGCAGAAAGAAGAAAAAAATCTTATATCTGCCCCTTATAAAATATAAAACAACTTTAAACAATCACTTAAATTAGTCACTTTAATATCCACTTTAAAGCTAGGAATAAAAAGAAACATGTTTTGTGTTAGCAGAATTTAATTCTAACTTTAAAACGTATCCAACATTAATAAAACTTGCCTCAAGTTGCCTTTTTGGACATGCATGCATATATTTGTACAGATTGTACTTGAGAGGAGATTATTACAGCCTCATATAAAATCAATGATGATCATGATATCGGAACTGGATCGGTATCGGTCGATACACAGATCTAGGTATCGGGATCGGATCGGAATTTAAAAAAGTGGATCAGTGCATCCCTAATTAAAACAGTCACCCTCAATTTGGCTCCCAAGGGTCTGTGTACAAGAACTACTTAAAATCACATTTCAGTTAATCAAGAAAGATGTAGATTGAACAGAATTTTTGACGCTCCACAAAGACATCACCTTGATTAATAAAATCCAAGTACTGGATATGTTCCTCTCCCACAGCCATTTAAATGTTTCCATATTCCCTACAGTGGTGAAAACAAAGTGGAGTAAAAAGGATAAAAAAAATGACAGGAGTGGCACCATCATAATGGCACTAATAAACACAGAGTGCAGAGCCCAGCTGTTTAAATAGCACTTTTCTGTGAGTATGTGTGAGTTAAGGAGGAGAATGGGAAGGAACAAACATACAGTGAGTCACTGGGAGCTTTACAAAATATCAACAGGTTCTGCTTTATGACACTGAATAATTGAAGGGAATAGATGCATGAGAAAGAGTTGAAAGTAAAAAAGCTTCCCATAAAAAAAAAAAAAAAAGACGTATAGAACTGAGTGAAACAAAGTGAGATGTTAAAAGACACAAAAGGATATTTTGTGTTTATATGAGGTGTTTTTGTGTGTATCAGTAAAAGAAACATGTACTCTATTACTGATTGGGGGAAGCATGCCACAACAAACTCTACTTAATGTTAGAGATGCACCTAAGTTTGTAAGCTGATTTCAGTTTTTTTTTTTTTTTTTTTTTGCACAGCTCTGTCTAGTTCTGATTTCTCATTTAAAACCAAAATACTTTTTACTAAATTATGTGTAAATAAATAAAAAAATGACTGCAGGTATTATAATGTATTTACAGCAAAACACTTTGTATTTTCTTCAGAATGGCACCAAACTATTTTCTTTCTCTTTCTGTCACTGGTAGTCTATAATAATAATAATCTCCATCCACATACACAAAAAAATAATTATAGTAACAACTCATTTGTAAGACACAGCATAGGTCCTTAACTTTTTTGTATTTCTCACAAAATAAAGTGCATTATAACAAATTAGTTAGAGAATTTTGTTCTTCAAGACCCTATTTTAAAATATATTACAGTAGTATTTGAAGTGAAAAATTATTCCATGTATGATGGGTGAGATTGTCATTAATTTTATTGGAAATTCTCTTTATTTTTAAACCTGTTACAGATAGTACATACAACTCACTTCAAGTCTGCTTCACTTAGTAAAAACGCACATAAAACGAGCTACAGTATTCCTAGTATAAATCAGTCGATTTGCTATGGTGCGTTCACTGACTGGCGTGAAAATATCTATTTTTTTTGCCTTTTGGATTGATTGGTCACGTTCCAACTGATAGGTGCATTCCTTCTTAATATCCGAGACATTAACAAACGTCAGTCACTTTAGATACATATTAGGATTATTAAGAATCAGATTGAGAATCTTAGCAGAAAGACCAAACTAATCACATTTTTTTTTTTTTATAACACTTTCAAAATAGCTGACAAAACAAATTGTGAATGAATGATAAGCTGTAGACTAATGTCTGTGGTGCTGTATTGTAAATATTCTATTAACATTGTAAAGGCTGATATTATTTAGTATTAATTTATTTTTACCTCTAATTAGATTTTTCAAAATGACCAAACCAAGATCAAAACCTTTGGTATTAGAAACAAATTTGGCCCGACCGCAGTGCCTGGCTGCGTTGACTGGTTGACTGAGGTCTCAGTCATTTTTCTCCCTGCCTCTTCACAGGCAATTTTGTTAAAGGTCCGTGATGCTTGCCAAACTGCTTACTGCGGCTGCAAATACATCTCCCCCAGACACTGGATCGATAGCTCAATCTAATTGACGGCAAACATTGTGAAGATGTTACAGGAGAAGTAGCGTCTAGAGACCAGGGTTTCTTCAGTCTGACACATCTGAATATGACATCTGCATTCCGATTATAGGAAGGGTTAGATGTCGCTGTATAAATATCTTGTAATATTTGCTGTGCAGGTTCATCATTTTCTAATCCACTAAAACAGTTGTTCCAGATAGTAATGTATAAATGTGACCCATCACATTTGGGCATAGTAAAAAATGCACATTTTCAGATTATTTACCTTTGAAGCTACAATTTGATATTTAGATCATCCGGAAATCATGAGCGGTTACCTTGCTAATCGGGAATACCCCTGGAAAAGCAATCAGAATTATTATTATTTTTTTGCATATTCTAAAGAGGATTTCTTGATGTCATTATAAAGACAATGCAAGTAGCGGGGGGGGGGGGGGGGGGGGGGGGGGCCTTGGTGGATTTCTTCTGCGGTGCTGCCGCAGGAAGATTTCAATAAAAATG